TCGATATTCGAGTACGACCTTTACATGATGTTACAAATCAAAACCATACAAGAAATCTTTTACAAAGTATCGGAATTAATAATCGACGAACAACAGAAGAACGCTATATTGTCCTAGATTTAAATTCACTCGAGAGTTATATCAATTTGCTTATTCAAGTAAAGTTTTTATGTTTGTCTTATTGAACATTTTCTGTTATTATTTAGTTTTTCATTTAAAAGATTCGACATCATGGAATGACAACACCACATTACCATTACATTATAATGAGTCTCGTATGTGGAAAAGAGTTTATCTAATTCATGTTTCTTTATATATGCAAAAATTATTCGTCTTTTGCATCTAGGAGGCAGATAGAATTGATATGCGAGTTTTTCGATACGGTGGAGTGAAAGTGACATATTTTCTACCGAGATCCGTTCAACCTGTAACATTATTGAAAAGCTCAACAGTCGATTATTCGACAAATCGTTTATCATTACCATCTGTAAGTGTTGTTGTAGATACTAGATCTAAAATTTCATATATATTATTAATTTAGTTTGAGAAAAAAGCATTAGCCGATAGTGTTCAATTATTCATGAGAGCTTTGAGGTTACTCAATGAAAAAGGTGCTAACATATCGTTTGATAACAAGTCAGATCATCTTAAAATTCGATGCCGATCCCCATACAAAGCGGTTGAAAAACATAGAATGGGAGAATTACTCGTCGACATTATGAAATCTGTTGGTATCACTATAATATTTCTTGAAAAGTAAATGATAATAATGTTGTATATCTTAGACTACATTCGAGGGATTTTCTGGACATATTGAATTTAATAAATACGGTGAACGAATTAATTATATATTGGATGTACACCAAATAACAATGAATAAATTACCGAAAAATGTAAGATACTATTTTTATCAATGTAAACGTTGTTGTCAGTGAATATTGTTTAGATACTGTGGTGTATAATATTTTCTGACTGTACTTTAGGTGGGAAATTTTACAAACGATTTATTTTTGATGGATGATACTGAAGTATTTCAAGGTAGACAAACACATGATTTTGATAAGGGACGAGAGTGGATCATAACAACAATTTTGGTATGTGTATTAATTTTAGAATAAAACTTGTAATAATGCACAATTTTCTTAAGGATGAGCCATTCACAATGATAAATTACACAGCTGCTGGTAATCTGAGAGGGTCAACAGTTGCTGGACAAATTCTACCATTTGATCATTTATATGGTTATTGTGTCGATTTGGCTCGTATGTGATAAAATAAAGAGAGTAAACCAGCATAGTTCGATGATATGCCCTGTTTTAGGTTTCATATGTGAAATGGTGTTAAAAATTCGTTGTAAATTTCGTATTGTCAAAGATGGTCGATTTGGACAGAAATTGACAGATGGTCTATGGAACGGAATGATTGCAGAACTCATGCGTCATGTAAGCAAGAATTGATCTCTATTTATTCCACGAATACAATGAGTTTGCTTTAGGAAGCTGATCTCGCCATAGCTCCGTTAAGCATCACTAGCCAACGGGAGAGTGTTGTTGATTTTTCAAAACCATTTATGATGTCGCAAATCAGTATTTTGATGAAAAAACCCGAAATAGTGCAACACAGTAAAATTAGCTCTAACCTTTACGTACTTGTTTCGTTCATGCTCATGTAAAATTTGCTTTTTCGAAGATCTGTTTTCATTTCTGGCACCATTATCAAAGGACCTTTGGATGTGTGTGATATTAGCTTACATTGGTGTAAGTGTTATTCTGTTTGTCGTTAGTCGATTTTCGCCATACGAACGGATTGAAGATGATACGGCAGAAACAGCAACACCACAATTATCAAACAAGTTTTCCATATTAAATATATTCTTTTTTGCATTAACAGCATCCATGCGTCAGGGAATCGGTTTCAGACCAAGGTGGCTAATCTTTAATAGCGAGTTATTCTTTCACTGTACGTAGCATGTTTTTAGATCAATATCAGGAAGATTAGTCGTCAGTGTGTGGTGGTGTTTTTCATTGATTTTAGTTTCATTGTATACAGCTAACTTAGGTATTATGAGATCTATCAGTGACGATTTGAGGGCAAGTTTTTCAGACTTCTATCTCGTTTAGCTGCGTTTCTTGTGAGTGGTTACTTGAACGACGAAGATGTTACACCCATTAAAAGCGTGGAAGATCTAGCACGACAAACGCATATCCAGTATGGAGTGGTGCGAGGTAAAGCTGATGAATACCGATTAACGAATTTTTTTCAAAAGTATACCGATTACTTTTCTTTAAGGAGGTTCAACGCAAGCATTCTTTGAAGTTAGTATCGTCATACCGCATTAGCTATTAAATGATCATGTCATACCTCATCTATTAGAAATCGGATGTGAAAATATTTCGACAAATGTACACGTTTATGCGACAACATAACCATGTGCTGGTGAATAATACTAGTGAAGGGATAAGCAAAGTTCGGTAATAATTGACAAAAGTTTAATTACCGTTGATCTAAGCGATAGTTAAACGATATTTTCTAGGAAATCAGCAGGAGAATATGCGTTTTTACTCGAAGTAAGTGTTTCAATACACATTTGTAATCTCATTTATTCTAATCACGTTCTCTTTCAATTAGTCGACCAAGAATGAGTATGCGAATGAACGTTTTCCTTGTGATACTATGAAAGTTAGCAGTGATCTAGATTCAAAAGGTTATGGTATTGCAACACCAGTTGGATCAGAACTTCGGTATACGATACAACGAGGCTTAGTTTTTTTCTATGCATCGGTTAGTTTTAATTTTTTAGTGAAGCAATCAATATAGTCATATCAGAAATGAGTGAAGCTGGAATATTAAATGCATTGAAAAACCGATGGTTCTATGAGAAGTACGTTAGCTCATTAAACTACAATTAATATTCAATGAATATTCAACTCTTTTTAGATCCGAATGTTCAAGTGGAACAATAAAAGTAATCTCTTTTTATGATTAATAAAGATGTAACATTATTTTTGCAATTATTTATAGAATGCAAGACGAAGCCATGCAATGAATAGTGGTCATGTTCGTGGTATATTTTACTTTCTCATTGGTGGTTTAGCATTAGCTATAATCATAGCTTTTTTGGAATATTTTTTTGTCAAATGTCGTAGCTAAACAAACTAAAGTATGTTTTTAACTATTATTTTACGATAATTAATTATCTATCTCTGTTTTTGGAGTGATTTTCGTGACGTTATGAGAAGAAATATGCGTTTAAGGTATGAAACAGAATCTGTGTAATGCATGACAATTTATATTAATGTAATATGATTTTTGCTGTTTTGCAGAATTATCGGCACATGAAAATTGTCAAATAATTATAATAATGATCTAATAAATCATGTCTGTTTTTTTTTTGTTTTGAACGTGTATAAATGCTTCGAGAATCGAGAAGACAAACAGATTGAGCTGTTCTAATCCCAGAATTCCATTTGATTTAATTAATATGTGATTCTGTTCTAGCTGAACAATTTACGGTAGTAGGATCATCCGTTATACGTCGTCGTATAACTTCCTAGGTAGCGATTAGTTTGAAGAAAAACTAGCTTAATTGCTGTTACTTTGACAATATCTTTATTTCTGTTTGCAAGCGCACAAACTTTTCTCGACAATTTTACAATGGTTCATATTGCTAGCAAATTGTTACTTTACATTTTTTTCTCCATCTTTTTGTTATAGTCGTGCCAAAAGCTTAGAAAATGCATATTCATCATTGCCGCATCGAACAACTTCAAACTGAAATATTTTATCTCATTAAAAATATTTGTTTGAATTTTTTTGTATTTCGTTCTTTTTGTCTAGTACCCATGTATTTATACGTATATTCACCTTTCTGTCTTCTCTGATGACAACAAAGATACAAATGAAAATCTTTACTTCTAGTTTTCGAAAATCTTTGTTCTTACTGTTGTTGTTTATTATGAAATCATCGTTCTCTCTTTCTCTGTCATCTCTTTATAGATATCAAAATTTTCACTTTTTTTTCAAAAACTAAGAAAAAATAACTTAGTTGGATAAATGGCAGAACTTTTACAATAAGTGCACAACAAATACTTGTTACAACATACACGAGAGCCTTTCTTTTTACTCTTTTTTTTTCCGTTCTACCTCAACTGGTCAAAATATGTGTTAGTTAAGTTTATTTTGAATTTTCATTCAAATCTTGTACTGACGATGATGCGGTAGCATCGAAATATCTATTGTAAATTAAATTAAAAATTGAAATAAAATGAACTTAGCTACAAACAAAACTGAAACATTTAAGAAAAAATAAAACATACCTTTTGGAGTTTCTGTTATATTTCATGACATATTTTTATGTTAGGACAAATGAGTGGTTTTGCAGATATACAATACATTTTCTTTGTTTATAATATAAATTAACAGTTGATGAAACTAAAATTAGAAAATAGCATCTGCATTGAATTAATTTCTGAACGTCAGTCGTTCAACTATCATCTAACTTGTATATAATTGTGTATTATATATGATTGTATAAATCACCTGACCGATCCTCTGGGTCTGAGACATGTTAAGTAGAGGTGGCACATTACTGTTACTTTTCCAAGTAATCCAAATATTGTATATATTTCTATTACTAGTAATAGTAATACTTTGCAGTTTTACTGTTGCTGGTAATAGGAATGTTCATCAAATTTATACCAGCAACATTAAAACTGCAAAGTATTACTGTCACTGGTAATAGAAATATATACAATATTTGGATTGCTTGGAAAAGTAACAGTAATGTGTCAATCCTAATAGTAAGTCAATGGCGCATTGCAATAGTACATGAAGCCTTTCTTAGTAAATAGAGATTTGTATACTACAAAACTAAAAGTTTATAGCAACAGATGAATGTAGGCTAGATGCTGCTATTAGGAATTATTCTTCCAGTAACGGATGACTCCATATATCATTCGACTCCGTTTTTGAAGCTGATCCCAAATATGCTATTTTTATTACATAAAAGGTGTAGTGAGATTGGTGGCCTGTATCTCAAAAGCCGGACGGTACCTGTTTTTGAAAAATAGCTCACCGTGAGCTGTAAAAAACCGGTTGTCCAGGCGATCTCTGAAAAATCGAGCCATAACTCTGAAATTCGCAGCATAAACCCATGTTCTGGAATTCTTTTTCCAGAACGAGCAATGTCAGCAGATTCCGCGTTACTGACTACGTATGTTTCATGCAACTTCAATGTCACCGCCAGTCACCGAATATCTGTCCTGGGGCTGGAACCGTAGTTGGATAAAACGCATCGAGTTGAATATGGAAAACTGTTTTTAAGGCTAAAATTTTGAGAGAGAAAATTTCAAAATACTGAAGTGGGCACGTTTTATCGAAAAACCGCTAGATTTTGAAGAAAAGTTCATAGTGAGTACGTAAGTTTTTCACCAAAGTATTAAAATCAACTAAAAATTTCGAAATACATATCATTCGACTCCGTTTTTGACGCTGATTCCAAATATTATATTTTTATTGCATAAAAGTTGAGCTGTGTTGAAGAAAATTGAGAATTACTGGCTGAACTCCGATATATTTGCTCCTGATCTAGAATAAATGAATTTTCTGTGATAAAAAATTAAAAAAGAACCATATGCGGGTTTGTTCCTCAACGTTTCAGAAATATTGCCTTCATAGCTTACCAGAAAAAACTAGATAGGTTTATAAAATGTGTGAAGAGTAGCTGAAAAGTCCAAAAATAATAATCATGTTATATTTGACAGAATCAAAACTAAGTTTCTAGACTCTGTTTCACATACTGAGCCTGAAAAGGGTAGTTTCGAGCATTTAAGAGAGCGAGAAACGACTTTGTGAACGTTTATTCAAAATTTAGCGATAAAACGTACCCATTTTTCGATAAAACTTCAGTATTTTAGAAGGATGGGAATCGATTTCTGCTAGAAAATGGCCCAGTATGATTTTGAGTGAAAATGACCAGAAATGGTTTCCTTTTCACTTCCCAACACGTCTGACTTTTAAAAATTGCTTCTGCTCTCCTTGAAAAATTTTTCATATAATTTTTGGTGGCCATTTCAACAAACACCATATCATTTTTTCCCAAAAGTCTTCCTCTGATGCCCAAGTCCTTGACCAAAGCTCATATATAAAAAGATAGAGAATTTTTCGGGTTTCAAAATGAGCTGTAAATAAGTCTTTCAAAAATGTCCCCACATGGGTCAATAGTCGAACTAATTGACCGATATAATGATTTTCATCTATCTTAGTATTTTAAACACTCCGTTAGTCATTTTTCTTCCATGATGAAAAATAATGTATTTTTCAAAAGCATAGCATTGGATAGCCCTTGAAATTCTGTACAAAGTGAGCTGGTCAGAATATCCAGACAGGTGGGGCCAGTCATTAAAGATATGGAAAAGAAGCGTTTTTGTGTGTTATCTAAGCAGTACAGTGTGTGATAATCACAAGAACTCCCTTGTTTTTGACCTTTTAGTAAAAGCTGGAACCAATCTGAATACTGTTTTGAATAGCAGTTAGATACTCACAGAACTCAACTTCTATGTAATACAGATATTGTACCCAAGCAAATGTCATCTATGAGAAAAATCTAGATAGATTCCGTCTATAATCGGCCGATATACGACTAGTTGCCATCTAGATTACTAGTTGGAAAAGGGACTTTTAACTAGATGCGTCTGCAGGTGCATCTAGCTAGATGCAGTTAAATCGATCGATTATCGGACGATAAACCGATAGTTGCAACTAGAAAAAATCTAGTAATCGCCCAATTACTAGATTTCCACTGTCGTTACACAATAATTGCAATCGAGTAAAAATCTAGTAATTTAGATGAATCGGGCGATACTGGATTTTTGTTGGCGTTTGGTGAATACAGATAAGTCGACGGATGTGTATTTCGAAATTTTTACTTCATGTTGAAAAATCAACATGAAAATTCGAAAACCATTAAAGTACTCGGATCAGATAGAGACACACATCCGTCGACTCAATCTTCGATTCTGATTCTGAATATGATATCTGTATAACAAAGAAGTTGAGTTCTGTTTGAGAAAATTGAGAATTACCGGTAGAATTCGGACTCTTTCGCCTGAAATTTAGAAAAGGTGGATGTTCTCAGCCCTGGAGAGAAATTTCAAAAGACGAGATTCGTAACTTTTTTGCACTTGCAAAGACAAATCGAACGTGATACAATTGAATGTTTCACCTTATGTTAGAAATGAGTGAGAAAATCTGCCAAATTGGTTGGCGTCTTTGAAGCTATTTTGGCGCGTGAATTTTTAGTTTTATCGTCGTTCAAGAAAATTCAAAATATGCCTGTTTGATAGACCTTTGTGCGTACTATTTATTGTGATGGTTGTCAGAAGTTTTTTTGTTTTTCATTATCAAGAAAAAGAGTAGTCAGCGCAATAAACGTGTTGGAACAAATGCAGCACACATTTTTAAATCGCAGACTCTCCAAAGTATATGAAACAGATTTGTTCTCGTCCCTTTTTTATAATGACATATTTTTCTGGGAAATTTGACAAGAGAGTAAAGTTGGTCGATGTGGTCGATTTTTTCGTATGAAACGTGTAAAAAACTCAGGTTCTTCCCCTTTCCTCTCTTACGACGCTGTTGTATTTTTCGTATTTTTCCTGTTTTACAACCTACGTTCATATACAAGTTTAGAATGTTAACTAAAAGTTTTACCCTTCGTTTTTTTGTAAACTAGGTTCTACTACTCTGTGCCGTCGATGTATATGTTTATTTATCTATTTTACAAGCGCTCCAGAGCGTAATAACAAAGATCGCGTAATCCAAAAAAGTATAAACGTTTCAACAAACAATTGAACAAATTTGTAATTTGTGATGGATATAATTGGAATCAGAACTTTATGTTTTTAATTTGAGAAAACAAATATTTCATCCAAAAGAAAAATTTTGCTACAAATATTTCGGTTCTATATTTATCTAATCTTTGTTTCAACACGTGGAAGAAATTCAAAGTAGAGGAAAAAGGTCACTTGGCCATACATCCTCTCCAATTACCACGATCCGATGAGAAAACCGGAACATCACAACAGTGGGAAAAAGTCCATTTAAAACTGATCACAATAAAAAATAAAAATTGCACTTTTGATGAAGCCAAGCAA